CATCAAGTGCCTATAATATGATCCCATTTTGGTAAAGCCATGACAAATGCCTTATGATGTATGATTACGAGGGCCTGGAGGAGCATGGCTGAGCATGGCAGTGTAGACATGACATTTACCTGACCAGGGGAGGGAGACTGGGATGAGGAAGGTCCAGCAAGTAAGGGAGGAACATACAGCAGGACACTAAAAACTATATAAGAAATGATGATATTCATGCATTTATGTAAAACTATGTAGAAAATTACTAAAAAGCATGCACACGCAAAGATGCCTTAATCAAATCTTCCCTGTGTTGAGAGTGGCCCAATCTGCTGGGAGCTGGGGTGAACCATCCAGGGCCCTGGCTGTCCTCCTGCAAGGGCCCAGCACGTCCAGGGAGGCGACCTGTGAGGGGCCTGGGCTGCGTGCAGCCAGCAGGTGAGAAGGAAAAAGGCACCAGGGCTCCTGTGAGCTCTGGGCGAAGTGCAGGGACACGGGAAGGTATTGCAGGCCTGAGGATTCCTGGCAACAGCAGATTGCAAGGCCTGGTGGACAAAGGCCGGGAATAGGGATAAAAAGGGCCTGTGAATACCAATGAGTACAAGCTGGGTGAGAACATCAGGGGACCCAAGCCAGGTAGGCCGGGGGCCCACAGAGGAGCTCCGAGGCCTGCCTCAGGAGTGGGCTATGACTGGAAGTCTCCCGAGTTATAGGAAAAGAGAAAATGGGAGCGTTAAAGAATGACAAGTACAGGAAAGTTATCAACCCACATACACACTATTAATTGCAAGAAGTAAAACATCTTTGTTACGTACATTCTTCACATGGTGGAAGTCTTCCAAGCTCGCAGTACATTAAGTTACAGTCAGTGTTCTGTACTGAGTGCATAGTAACAGCTTAGACCACTCAGAGCACGAGTGGTTGGGGCAGGAGCCTGTGTTCCGCTGTTCCCAGCCCACCCAGGCCCACACCCTGGCACTGCCAGCTTCTGTCTGTGATGACGTGTGACATGGTGATGTGATGGTGTGATGCCGTGATGACAGCAGGAGGAGGCTGAGCGGGGCTCGGGCTTACCTCTGCCTCCCAGTCTCCCTGCCCCAGGCCTGTTACTGACCTTTCCGCAGGAGGGAGCGTTTTCTGAGGGCGGAACCACAGAAAGAAGTTTGGAGGGAAAGTTGCCTGGGGTGAGACTGGGGGTTCCCCCTGGGAAGGCCACGTGTCAGATCCTGTCCTCAATTCTCAGCGCCTAATGGACGGATTGTTTCTGAAGAGGTCGCTGGAGTTGAAGGCTGGGACACGGCACCGGGCATGCAGTGGGCTCCTGGCTGGACGCCCGCAGCACGGGCGCGGGGAGCAGTCCCCGCCAGCCCCACGGTGTGCGGCAGGCCAGGCATTTCTGCTCCCCACCCTCCTAAATGTCTGGACTCCCCACGTCTCCAGAGAGAGGAGGATGAGAGACGCAGTGAGCTCTAATGCTAAAATTATGCGGGCCGGGACCCCAGAGGCTGGGGCCTGGCAGCGGACAGCGGCTGGAGGCTTCCCGCCAAGGCCAGCACTTGAAGTAACGCTGTGCCCCGGGGGTGGGGGGTTTTGGACATGAGGCGAGGGGGGGGCACCTGTCTGTCCTCTCTGAGATGCTTTTGTGGAAGATGCTGCTGATATGGGGTAGAGGGTGCAGGGGGTGAGGCGGCCAGGAATTTGCGTGCCGATGGCGACACAGCGCATCCCAGAGCCTCCCGTTCTCCAGGTGCTGCAGGGCACCCTCCCTCGCAGGTGGCCTTCCCAGCCTCCCACCCTGACGCACATCAGCTCCATACACCCGACGTGCAAGGATCTCGCCTCACTCACTCCGTCAGAGTCCATCTCCGGCCGCCCTCCCTCACGGATTAGTGGGTGACAGGGCGCCACTGAGTGAACGAGAGTGGGCCTTGTGAACTCAGGAGAATTCCTCCTCCATGGTCAGAACTCAAATGCCCAAAAGACCCTTCTGTTCACTGCCGGGTTCACAGAGGTAGACGAGATGGCCTCTGTCCATGCAACCAGGCTCGCTGCTTCCTCTCCCGACGCTTGGCCATCCTGCTGGCAAGGAGCAGAGGAGAGCGAGCCTCTGCTCTGGGTCTCCAGTGCTCACTGCGGAAGCCCCTGGTGAATGAGCAAACTCATCTGGGCGACAGCAAAAGGGCAAGCCAGCACCTGCAGCTAAGAACTGGGGTTTTGTAACAACTGCTCCTACACTGGGCCTATGCTGGATTTGAGGAGAAAGGAATAGAAAACAGAACTGAAAAACAAGTGATGTAAGCTCCAAGGGGACCCGCAACTGGAATTGGGCAGAGTCCCTCTTCTGGTCACACATCTGGAAATGAGGAGTGACGGGGAAATGGCTGGACACTCTGAGTTTTCAAACGGGGAGGGAAAAGTGAAAGACTTTTTTATAAAAGTCATCTGGTTAGATTCTCTCCTCCATTTCAGTCCAAACAGTTTTAAAAACAAACGCCGATGAGTCCCGCCCCCGGCAGGCGGACCCAGTCCCGAGCCCTCCTCCCCAGTGGGGGCTCACGGGGGTCCAGCACGCTTCCTCCCGGCACCGCACTGCGCTGAGGCGGGAGAAGATGCTGCGGAGCCCACTGCCCACCCGCCAGTACGTAACTGCTCTAAGCCCCGGCTTCTTTACTTATAAAATGAGGATCTAATCCTTACTTTACAGGACTGTTACCATTAAAAGGGACCGTGGACTACACAAATGTCACTGGCTCCATCTCTTAAAAATGAGCCCAAAACTGCCTATTTAATTTAATAGACCGTTTAGACCAGCGGTTCTCAACCTGTGGGTTGCAACCCCTTTGGGGGTCGAACGACCCTTTCACAGGGGTCGCCTAAGACCATCGGAAAACACATATATAATTACATGTTGTTTTTGTGATTAATCACTATGC